CCCCCCCCCCAAAGTAAATCAGGTAGCTTGACAGCAGTGGCTAAAAGGCCATAAAATCACCAGATAGGGCTGAAAACAGCTTATGAATGGGTATCTATGTCCGCAGGGCTTAGAAAGAGGGTTCTGTCTATTTGCTGCCCTAAGGCAATATTCACAGTACAACATAGAGGTAATTCTTGAACAGTACTGATTATAACCTTATTTCTGTCCTGGGCTCCAGAGCATGGGCAACTGGTGCCTCCTGTGTCTAGGGGGGTCGCCCAGCATGCGGCACACTGCCGATGTGTTTCCAGCAGGGCCAGTTTCAGGGAGGGCACTACTGCTGTCTGTGTCCTCCTACCAGCTGGAGCACTTGTTCGGGGGGGGGGGAACTGTGTGCCCCCTTACACATCGCCTGTGCTCCAGAGTAGAGTAGTGAGCAAACTTGTGAAACTAACCTGCTGTGGTTGCAAAACAATCTATAACACTAAGCTTCTTTATGCTGTCACTCTTTTTGAATTCTTTTCTTTTTTCTTTCGAACTATTTTGTGTTCTGGAAGAGTTCTGTTAAATTTGAAAAGTGTACTTCTAAAAGGAGCTAGAACATTGAATTTCAACATAATTCTATTGTAGCATTAAAACAAATTTTAAAAAAAGAGCACTAGTCATATTATGACTGAAGGCTCAATAAATACAGCTCTAATAAGGAGGAAAAACAGATTATTATAATAACATAAAAAATGAGGGTAACAGGTAAAACAAATGTTAAAGGAGTCTTGGGAATCTGTTTTTGTTTGTCTTTTTTTTTTTAAACACAGCACAGGGTAGATGTGTAGAAATCCTAATTTGTATTTATTTACTCACTGCAACAAGATGTGTACTTTATTGATTTGTTAATACATGCTTGATAGGATTCAGAGGTTTGATCTATAGCTTTGTGCCTGTCAAGCATTCGGAATGTATTCTAATATACCAATAGAAGTTATTTTGCGGTGCTGAAATAATCATGGACAGGGCTGGGCTGATTTGCAAGGAAATTAATCCATAGAGTCTACTTCTGCGTGCTTGCAGCAAAGGTCACTATAATGACATTAGTGTAACACAACTCGGCTTGTGTCTTGGCTTGTTATACAGGATGATATGTGTTTCTAAGTCAGTAGTTTCCTGTCCATTTTAATATTTAAAGTAGGTTTCTCTATTGTGGTTCAGGTTTTTTTTTTTTTTTCTTCCTTGCCTTGATTTTTAAATTCTGGATCTCTCTGCTTTTCTGTAACTGATTTGCTGCTCTTGTTTTGTCTCTGAAGTACCTCCAGCAAAAGGGTCTTGAGAACTTGTGGTATTTAAGATATGCCTGATCACAGAATAACTTTACCTACATTGACTTTAATATGAAGTCTGGCATGGACCATTACTTCACTGATTATAGACATGAAAAGGGTTTTTTCTGAGTATAGGAAAAGAAGAAAACTTCTGCTTTGACAGTTTCTGTATGTGTACTTTTTTTCCTCTTTTATCATTTCTGACAAATAGATCAGTATCAAAGGGTGACAGATTGGATTATGCATCATAATATCTAGTTCGTACTGCTTTTCATCTTGGATCTCCAGGTTTTATGAAGTGGAATAAGTATCTGGAGGCCTGTGAGAAGTGTAGTTCTGCGTATCTAGTGTACTGGTCTTCCACTGGCTATCGTAGTTCTCAAAACTGTTTTTCTGCCGTCTTAGAACAAGGAGGTGGGGTAGTGTCCCTTGAATGAAGGCTTGATTGCCAGTATCTATTACTAGGTCCGTTCTTTTGCATATCATTCAAAATGATACATAGGGCCCTTTCGTATTGGTGCAGAATTGGCTGTCTATACCTCACCTTCAACACATCACATGGAAAATGCCTGTAAGATGCAGACAAAACCATGGTAAACAATAGTTCTGATCAGTGTTGATCTGTGAAATATTTCAGAATGTCAGTGGTAGCTAGGGTTGACTGAACAACACCTAGTGAATAACTTGCTAAACCTTGTTCCCCCTATTCATGGGTTTTTCCAAAACCAGTTTTTGTCACAATATCAGGCTACTTAGAATTACTGGGCAGGTGCTATCTAAAAAAAATTGGTCTTATTATAGATGCGGGGGGTGTCAGAGGTACAGCCTACAAAGCCCTACAGTCCAGCTTGCGGGTCTCAGACTGACCCTGTGCACCTTACGCAGCACATGCCAGCCCTGGGAGTTCTGTACATGGTGTGTGGAGCTAGATCTGGGGCTACAAGTAGTACCTGCAGCGTGCGGGCCAGTACGGTGTGGGTGCTGCACTCGGCATCTACCCCGTACTGGCCCTGTGTGTCATGTGCAACGTGAGCCCTGGATCAGGGCTGGCGTGTGCTGCATACGTTGAATGGGGCTGGACTTAGTGTGTGCTCTGCACACAGCACAGGGGCCAGATGAACCCTGAATGTTGGCTCTGTGGTTTGTGTACATTGGCCTACGGATCATCCCTGAATGTTGGAGCAAGTGCACAGGGCTGGGCTAGCATGGGCACCTCATGTAGCATGCACTTTGTGCCATTTTTGTATGCAAGCCCAGAACCAGCGCTGGCGAGCACCTCACACAGTGCACAGGACTGGCTCAGGCCATGCGCTGCATCAAGTGTGTGGGGCCGGTCTGTGGGTCCAGTTTGTCCTGCAGACTGGCCCTACACCCCTCACCCAGCCTGTGGGGCTGGATGCATTTGACAGCCTGCTGTAGATTATTCCTGAATAATGTTTTTTGGTAGTTGATATTTTTGAGTTTAATTTTGTTTAGGGCCCATGCCACAGGAGGCTTACTAGATTAATGCTGCTTGTTCTGTTTACATTGAGATTTCTTATGCAAGTCCTGTTTATGAGCTTAGAATTCGTTTTCTGCAAATGTTAAACAATTTATTGTTTACAACAGTTATTTTAGCGCACTTGATATTTTTAACTTCAGTTAATGAAGTAGAGGGCACGACGATCAGGACGTCTCTATTCTTTTCCTTTGGCTCTGTCAAAGTTTTCCTATACAGTACTGATTGTGGACAAAAACATCAGCCTGTCTTCTCTGTCTCTCTGTGTAATGTAGTTATATCACTTCTTTATGAAGTTATAGGATACAAACTGGCGCCCAGTTCCATGACAAATGTCACAACTTTCATGAATGCACTGACAGATAAGCATACTAGTTTGACTGAATCTTCATAAGCCCAATATTATTTTGTTCATCTAGATCTAGCAGATGTTGTGTTGTCCTTGTTTTTTGGCATATTCTGCTCGGGGACCAAGCATTTCAGACTCTGATTTAGGTCACAAACAAAAAGAAAGGTCTAATTCCTAGGAATGAAAAGCCAAACATTTGATATGTGAGCAAACCTTCTTAAAATCAAGGAGTTGCATACATGTAACTCAGAATAATATTTGGCTCAGAGTGAAGCTTGTGTTGGAGAAGTTAATTTGAACCATTTTTAGGTTGAAGAGCAATTCAAATTTAGAATGAGAATCCATCTTATTTTCCTGAGTGGTGTACATAGGTCACTGTCCCTTCCTTCCCCTATCTCCCCAGCCCATTACCTGTTTATCTGAGTATCTATTTGAATGCTGTCTATACTTCATGTGAAGCATAATTTTTATTTTTATTTTCATGCTGTATCTGGGAGTCTAGACTAGGATATCTCCTATTCTTATGAATCCTTTTAAATCTCATAAGAAAGCATGACATTTGAAATTATTTCCTTATCCTTACTAAATTTTCCTGCTGAGATGTTTTGAACACCTTGTTAAATTAAAGGCACATCTTTAAATAAAGCTTTGTGTTTCTGTGTGGATGTAGATTGTGGCTTGCTTTGTTTCTAAAACTTAAATTGTTTGGAGACTATTGGGAATTCACTCTGTGCATGGGAAAGTTTAGTATTAAAAGGAATCAATTAAGTAGGGCTTTTGTGGTACCTACAGACATAGTTATAATGCATATCTTATTGGGACCTTCAGCTTTTGCAGATGTTTTATGTTAAATGTTTCATAATCCTTTCTTATTCTCTTTTGCAGGACTCCCTTGCAATTATGGAGATTTAGAGGAATTAGACAGTGTGGAGGGGGAATCCCCCTCCCCACTCTTTAGTTGACTTCTGGATTTTTTCTTTGGACAATAAGAAGACTTTTGTTGTATAAAATGGCGTAATAGAAGACTTTATAAATATAACTTTATATTTATAAAATATTTATTTTGTTCAAGTGCCAAACCGAGCAGCACAAAGATTCTCAAGGCAGCTTAGTAAAACTGAGTCTAAGTACTTGGAATCATGAATTTCCAGAGGCACTGTATTATAGTGTGCTAAAATCTGAGTGCCTTGTTATTCTTACTGGCTGTTACTTTTTAAGGAGGGAACAGTTCTGAAAAGTAAAGATGACTACTTCCATGCCTGACTGCACTTTGAAGTGTCGCTCTCTGCAGCATGCTTTGGATGTTATTTCTGTAGTTACCAGAGGAAGCGAAGGCCAGGTGAAAGCCTTTCTCTCTTCTCATTGCTACAATGCAGCAACTATAAAGGATACTTTTGGCAGGAATGTCCTCCATGTTGCTTCCTCCTGTGGCAAGAAAAGTGTGGTAGATTGGCTTACAGAGGCCAAAGGAATGGATTTACTGGCAAAAGACAAAGAGTCTGGATGGACAGCTTTGCACAGAAGCATCTTCTATGGCTACATTGATTGTGTTATGTCATTGATTAAGGTTAGTATCCAGCTTAAGTATGTACTGTGTATTAAATTGAAGTGTGCCAGATATGTGCTGTTTGGTCTGGTATCTTTATCTTGTGGTGTCTGCAGCTTAAGCACGTAACATCGTATTAGTACACAAGTATGTGACAGTGAAATAGATTGAAACTGACTGCTTAGTGGGGTTCTAGTTGTGTCCTGTTGGCCAGTTGGTCACTAGATGGAAGAAGGGTTGGAGGGGTCCTGTCCTTTTCTTTTCTTCTCTCCCTTAGTATTGCAGCAGTCCCTGGTGGCAAAGAGGGCAGAAGAGAGCCAGACATGAAGAAATAATGTTACCCTTTTTGGTATAAGGATTTGAAGCCATTTATTCCCAATCTTCCTTTCCTGGTATCAGTGATATGGAAGAGAGGAGACCTCCTGTTTAAAGTATGCTTAAGTTTTGCTCCAGGAAGGTCAGTTTGTGGTAGTATGCCACTTGAGAGAGATTTGTTTCTTTCTTGCCTACAGCGGCTTATCTTCTTGTGAAATTTGGGAAGGAAGCAGATTAGAGTTGTCAACTGTCTGTAAATTACTAGATTTATAGACGGTAAAAAATCAAGCTAAAAATGGCTCTCAAAGTCCATAAAAATAAAACCAAAAAACTTTAGCTTCAGTAAACACACAAAGCAGCCAGAGCTGCTTCACTGATTCTCTGACAGAGCACAGCAGTATCTGTGTGGGAGCCCAGCATCCTGTAGGGAGTATTTTTTTTTTTTTTTTTTTTCCAGGGCTTTGTAAACCCCTTCCTTCCTGCCTTCCTTCC